ACTCTAGCTGTTGCTTCTTCGAAAAGCAGCAGTATAACGCTGCTGCTTGTGGCCTTCGTCAAGAGGTTTGATGATCACGGGTCTTGGTCATCTGTTTTGATGAGGCCTCCGTGAGAGTTGAGGGCTTAGCGGGATGAGTACATCTGGCCGGCAAATTCTCTTCTTTTCATGTTATCTGTTCCTAGCGGAAAGTAGGATTGTTGATGGGGACCTAAACCCTAAACTTAAACCCTAAGCCCACAACAGCCTTACAGACCCTTCTGAGCGGGTTCAGCTTTAGCGCGGTGTGCGGCGCGGCAAAGACAGCCGTGCCATTCTTCATTCCACGGCGCACTCAGGATTTAACGGTTTAGGCTATGGAAGAGAGTTCCTGCAACCCTTGAACATGCGCCCTTGTTTTTGGCCTTTGACAACACTTTGCCTTCTTCGGGCTTCATAGTTGGCACAGGCCCAGATGCCGTGTGATAGCGCCAAACTAGGCAAACGCCTTTTCCGACACTAAGGGCTGGGCCATTTACGTGCAGCTCCAAGCCGTACAAGATAGCCTGCGCGGGTCCACAATTTGGATTTAGCATGGGTTAGGCATCAAGGAAGTCTGGCGAGGATGCTGCCTTCCTCTAGGGTCTCCTATGCTACTCTCACGGCATTTTCAGCTAAGGATGTCTTGTTTCTGGATGTTGGCATCGTGCGGTTGCCTAAATCTTTACATCCGACAGCTTCTATTCCAGCACTCGCTGTGCGGACAGCAGAATCAAGTAGTGGAGCGTGAGAATGGCCCTAATTTGGGCTGCAGTCTTTGCACTCAGGGCTTTCAAAGCCCTCGCGGATGGTGATCATGGAGCAAGTAAAGACTCGACAGGGCTACTAATGCCCTCCGTCTTTCGTGCCGAAAGATGCCTCTAGATTTACTAGGGGTAGACCCCTCAGAGTGCAGCCGTACGCTTCTCCTAGTCGCCTTCGTCATCCTTCGTCCGAGGATCTCTGTAGCTCAAGCTGCTCCGTCCGGCCGTGGCTTGCAGTACACGTTCGAGCGCAGAAGTGCGTAGCCAAGAGCTGGTAACTACGGTTCAGGGTTTGGCGGACTTAAACCATAATCAGGCTATCTTTGTGGAGGTGTTTGCGGCATGCCTTTGCTGGAGCCCAACACGTCTCAAGGTACGTGCCGTAATGGCACTCTAGAAAATGCCAGGTGCATGAAGTGAATTGAGCACCCGGGATCCATGCAGCGACAACTTCTCGGCATGTACATCTCTCTCATTCTCTATCCCTGAGACGGAAACTTCTCTGACAAGTGGAGGTATACCCGTTTAAGGGCCCTGATCCTCAAGATCCTATTCTCCAGCGGATTCTAGCTTTTTCCCCACAGATGTTTATAGTCCGAAATGCCCGGAAGTGAGGATGGTTCAAGGTTTCAGATCTTTGCTGAGCTCAACTATGTGTTGTAGTCGAAGGGGTTCCTTGTAGGTCGATGAGAGAACTTTTCCTTCGGAACCTAGCCATGACTCCATGCCAGAGGAATGCTGCACTTGGATCCGGATTGGTGTGTTCTAGCGCCATGGACATATGCAAGGACAAATCTGTTCTCCACATGAGAAGGAGAAATTCTGGCCTGTCTTTTCGGCACCCGCATGAAGGGTTGCCCATTAACGGTTTCGCAGTAAGGTCGTATTCTTTCGACGAGATCCATATGTTGTAATAAGAAGCAACTGGGCCGGGTAGTCCCGTGCTTTCGCTATGATCTTGCGACGTGTAGTTCTATTGGCATGACGGGATGTGATAGTAGTGTAGCAAGTCTGCTGTCGCTGCTGGTGCTTTTCTAGCTGCTCTCTGGCACCCATCAACCCTCCCTAGCAGCTGCAGCTCTGGTTGCCGTCATGCAAATTTCATGATATTCGCCAAGGTCATGCAAATTTCTCCTTCATTGAAGCGTAGATTGGCTGTAACCTTTCTACACGCGGCACAAGATGCTGATGGCATCGAGGAGCGACCGCATTCTCGCTGCTACGCAGTGCGGATTGGCATCTGAAGGTCGTCGAAGCCTTTTTTGCGCAGATTTTCTGTGCAGACTTGAGATCAGACTGGACTTATGTTCGACAGGTCACAGGAGTGCCACCTCTTCCCTTGTGCTAGACTGTCAGACGCAGAACACAGGTCCAGGCCTACAAAAGTCAAGTGTAAGAGGTCAGGCGCCTTTGTTGGAAGCGGCAGTATCTGAGTTATGAGTACGTATGTCTTTCTAAGCTGCATCATATGGCGTTTATATCTGCGGTAGCGATGGTGCATTTCCCCTTTCTGGGACTGGAGGGTTGCTTTCTACGCATTTCTCTGACTCGCATCATAGAATCCCTCAGGCTCAATTTCCGCTTCAAGTAGACCCCTCAATAAACTCAGACAGTGGCCTGCGAACATCAACAGCTGCAGACAAAGTGCCCGAGAGCTGCAGAAGCCCACGTGCCATGGGGCTCAACAGATCTGTGTAAATGCGGAGCATCCAAAACCCTGAAACTCCGCCTGCTCTATGCCTGGAACTCCACATCACTGCAACGGGCCTTCTTCGCACTGCTCTTGGGCACTCTGCTCAGCACCCTTTTCGATCGGACCATGTCTGACCTGATGAAGCCATCGTCGGCAGTGTTCTTCGCACAACATGCGCAGCATTGCTCAACTGTCAGAAGAGAACCATAGAGGACTCGATTCCCCAGACGACCGGACTGATTTCCTTGGTGCATAAGCACAACATCCACTTTCAATTTCATGAGCTGGAAGATGGTTTGCATATGTTCTTTTGCTTCAACCTTCACTTCACGTGCATGCTATCATGCGAGAGCGAGTGCGCGAACCTGCAAACGACAATGTCAATGTTGTGGGCCTACGGGCCTTCGGGCGTTTTAAGGTCTCATCCTTATCCTAGACCTCCGACTGTGGTTAATTAGTTCCTTGGATGTAGTCCGAGTTTTCGAACTGCTGCTGGGTATGCAGGTGTTGGTGACTTGGCAGGTCTAGGCAGAGACGAGTTTGAAAAAGACACTGGAGGCGATCACGCCTGGGGTTCTGTGGAAAGCTGCGTGCTATAGGGATATGTGATGTCAAGTCGCAGACGTAGACGACTGTTGACCATTTCAGCATGTGGGCGAATATGTCAGGCCCATGCAGGTGTGATGAAGCATGGCAGATGCACGCAGCTTCCACAATAGACGTCACACTTTAGATTCAAAAGAGAAAAGCCAAGAAGTCGTCTACTGAGCTGACAAATGGGGCGAGCGTGTCCCATCTTGGGTGTCTCCTCCGGTTCCAACACCAAGGCGAAATCCTTACTGTACGGTTTCGCCAATTCTTTTGCAGTGGTTGTAGCAGTAGACGGCGTAGCTGCGGTCGGAGCCGCAGTCGAAGTATGTCAGTGGCAGCAGCAGTTGTTGTAGTTGGAGGAGGAGGAGGAGGAGGAGGGGCAGGTGAAGGGGTGGGGGTGGGAGGAGCAGCAGCAGGAGGAGGAGTAGTAGTAGTAGGTAGGTGTGGTAGTAGCAGCAAGACTGGCTGGTTGTGGTGGGATGTGGTGGGGGAGGAGGAGGAGTGGTCGTTGTAGCGCCAGCGGGAGAACGAGGGTGCAGCAGCGTTGGCTTTCGTGGCACTAGCTGTCGTCATTGTCGTCGTCATGGTGGTCCTGGTAGTAGTCGATTACAGATTAGCAGTAAGGTGAGGGTTGTTTTGCTTCAAAGGAATTCTCCTTGTTAGCGCGTACGGAGTAAACAGCGTTTCAAGAAGAACACGTGACCCGAGGCATGCAAGCTTGGCAGGCTCGACTTTGGAATCCCCTGATTTGCCGAGGCCTGATTGCGTGTGTCCGGGTGTTGACAAATATCAGCATTGAGGAGTACGCGCGGGCTTTCAGAAACAGACTGTGACATACGGCGATGCTTTGCTTCTAGATTTTATTGCTGCGAACTACAACTGGCTATGATATGCTGTTGGCAACTAGCCAGTCACATCGGAATTTTTGCCAGCAATCACGATTCCTGGTCCAAAGGTAGTAGTGGTAGTGGAAGTCATGTCCGTAGTAGGCGTAGTGTGGAAGCTCGCAACGGTATCGCAGGCTTCAAGCTGTTATGTCGCTTTTTCAGTTATCCTCATCAAAACGAGACTGGCAGACATTGATCACACTTGATCCCATTTCTAGCTTTGGTACTGTCGTGTGCGCTTGGCTCAAGGTGGCTGCCCGACCCCTCTAGAAAATCTCACACACAGCGTTAAAGAAGGGTAGAAAGCCTTGCCAAGCCTGATGGACCGAAGCCTTTCAACCCACGGCCCAGCCGCACCTCAGCCCACTCACTACGCATCCACGCACAATATATCAGACCTTGCAACTTGCACGGGGCCCGACCCGCCCGACCCCTGGGTTCGAACAAGATTCGGAAGCTTACCAGCAGCGTCCTAGCATGCCTGGCGACGCTGTATGTTAATGGCTCATGAATTCCAATGACGCCGAAGTGTCCTTGGAGCCTCGGAATGCAACGCGACATCAGCACTTCACAAGTTGGCATGCCTGCTTAGGCAAAGGATCTTGCCTTGTGATGTGCACTCTAATTTTCCTGGTTGCGTAGCAACAGTAGCAGTTATAACAGCAGTAGTAGTAGTAGTAGTAGTAGTAGTAGCAGCAGTAGAAATAACAGTAGTAGTAGTAGTAGTAGTAGTAGTAGTAGTAGTAGTAGGAGTAGTAATAACAGTAGTAGTAGTAGTAGTAGTAGTAGTAGTAGGAGTAGTAATAACAGTAGTAGTAGTAGTAGTAGTAGTAGTAG